CTTTTTTCTTTTTGCTTATGTGGTGCTGAGGAATCGAACCCAGGGCCTCATGCATGCAAGGCAAGCGCTCTACCACTGAGCCACCTTCCCAGCTGGCTTGTATTTTTAAAGCAGTATAAGCATTAAGAGAAATACCATAATGCCAATTATTCTGAAGTTATATTTGTTTTAAATGGCTTTGACTGATACTTGTGAAAGCCTAAGTAAATATATTATCCATGTCTTCTCCCATTACCTTGCCAGTCACAGTTGTAAAAAGTTCAGAGATAGTCAGGTGCTGTTAGCTTTGCTGTAATCCTAGTTACTCAGGAAGCTGAGATCTGAGGATTGCAGTTAGAAGCCAGCCCAAGCAGAAAATCATGCGACTCTTATCTCCAGTTAACTATCAAAAAGCCAAAAGTGGAGCCAGGTGCCAGTGGCTCAATGCCTATAAACCTAGCTAAGCAAGAGGCTGAGATCTGAGGATCACATTCAAAGCCAGCCCAGGCAGGAAAGTCTGTGAGACAATTACCTCCAATAAACCACCAGAAAACTGGAAGGGTGCTGTGGCTCAAGTGATAGATTAATGAAAGCAAACCAAACGCTCAAGGACAGTGCTTCCCACCACCTAAATAAAAAAGGTTCAGAGATTGCTCAGTAGTGAATTGTGTAGCCTAATTCACATTTTCTACCCTCCAGGTTATAAAATTTGAAGAAGAATTAACTACAGCCAAAAGAAATTATCTAAAACATCTGTACATCAGGCTGGGGAAGTGACTGAGTGACAGAGCGCTTGTCTAATATGCACAAGTCCCTGGTCAGATCCCTAGGACCCGACCAAAAAAGAGGAAATGCATCTTGTTACATATTTCAGTTGTTATGTGAACAGAAACCACCTTGAATTCAACATTTAAATGCATTTTCCAGCTTTCTTTGAAATATATACATATATATATACACATGTATATACACAGATATATATACACACATATATACATTTATATATATGTATGTATATAAATATATGTGAGAGTGGGTTAGGACTAGCATCCTGAACAATTAAGTTACTAAAATTTTATTGCGATTGTTTTTACTGTTTTACATGTGGCTGGAAAATGGTATGATTTCCTACTGTGTACCTTCTAAATTGTGCTCAACTTTTCATTGTAGCCTCAACTAAAGAGAATTCTGTTTTCAACTTGGTTCAACTGTGATCTACCTTGTGTTAAAACATTTTAACAAGGAACAGATTATTTCACTAAATATGTCTTATGGTATTTCTCATGTGATTTCCATACCTTTCTTCCCTTGCTCCTTTTGCCTTGTTAAGAAGAAATTGATAAAGGATATCATGAACAAGCCACCAGCAGAGTATGTACAGATTGGGGGCATGTTGTTAGTTGTAGAGCACCTACTAAGCAAGTATAGGACCTAAGTTCAAACCCCAGTTCTGCCAAAATAAAGAGAAAACACAATTATGCAACTTAATTAGTTAAACTCCTTATGAAATATCTGTTGCTATAATTCCAGGTGACCATAAATATTTTAAGCATACATTAGTGTTTGATATGCATTTATTAAATTAAAGTGTTTGGCTCTAAGCAGGGTGTGTGTGTGTGTGTGTGTGTGTGTGTGTGTGTGTGTGTGTGCGCGTGCATCTGTCTGTCTGCCTATCTCTCTATTTGTCCAAAGTCTTGAACTTGGGACCTGAGCATTGTTCCTGAGCTTTTTTGCTCAAGGGTAGTGCTCTACCAGTTGAGCCATAGCTTCACTTCTGGCTTTTTTTCATAGTTAATTGGATATGAGTCTCACACGCTTTCCTGCTTGGGCTGGCTTTGAAACACAATCCCCTGAGTAGCTAGGATTACAGACATGAGCCACCACTGCCTGGCTCTAATCAGTGTTTCCTTAAGATCTCTGAAAGCTGATAATCAGTGGCACATTCCTGGAAGGAAATGAAAAATTTTAACGTTTATCTACTTCAATTTCTGAGAACTATAATGATCCCAACATTTCTCAGTCATGTGAAACAATATTAATGGTTTTGAAACTAATAAGTCAAAAACCACTGTAGGAGGAATGAAAGATTTATAGTGCATTTCCCCTGAAATTATTTCCCCTGCCAAGACTAAATATCACTCCACTTACCATTCTTTTATAAGTGCAACTTCATTTGGATTCATTCTTCTTTTTAGTGAAGAGTCAAGCAATACATTGAGTCTATTCTTCTTCTTTTTTTTTTTTTTTTTGGTCATGGGGCTTGAACTCTGGCCCTGAGTGCTGTCCCTCGACTCTTCAGCTCAAGGCTAGCACTCTACCATTTGAGCTACAGCACCACTTCTGGCTTTCTGGTAGTTTATTGGAGATAAGAGTTTCACGGACTTTCTTGCCCAGGCTGGCTTTGAACTGTGATCCTCAGATCTCAGCTTCCTGAGTAGCTAGGATTACTGCATGAGCCACCAGCCATCAAGTCAATCTTTAAAAAAAAAAAATTAGTGTTAAAGCTAAAATATTCTTTTGCCCTACTTCCCACACACACCAACTCCAGCCCTCTCTTTTATCTTTTCTAAGATAATTAAGTACTGAATGAAATTTGAGGGGGTGTACTTAAACATAAGGTTTATGTTAGGTGTATTCTTAAAACTTGAGATTATTATAACTAGCCTTTTTTTTCTTTTTGCCAGTCCTGGAACTTGGACTCAGGGCCTGGGCATTGCCCTTGAGCTTCTTTTGCTTAAGGCTAATACACTACCATTTCAGCCACAGTGACACTTCTGGCTTTTTTGTTTATGTGGTACTGAGGAATTGAACCCAGCTTCATGCATGCTAGGCAGGCACTCTACCAGTAAGCCACATTCCCAGCCTGTCAGTATTCATTTTTGTACCAATAAAGAAACTGAGCTTTAAAAAAATTAAGTGAGCCAGGTGTCAGTGGTTCACACCTATAATCCTAGCTACTCAGGAGACTGAGATCTGAGGATTACAGTTCAAAGCCAGCCTGAGCAGGAAACTCTGTGAGACTCTTCTCTCCAATAAACCACTCAGAAAACCAGAAGTAGTTCTGTGTATGGCTCAAGTGGTAGAGAGCTAGCCTTGAGCATAAGAGCTGAGGGAAAATGTCCAGGCCCAGAGTTCAAGCCCTACATCCAACAAAAAAACAATTAATTAATTAATTAAATGATAAGGCAGAAATAATAAACATTCAAATTAAATAAAGGTGGAAAATATGCTAAGAATTTGGAGAATTATTACTTGGGTCATGATACCAAAGCTGTAACTTGTTCAATTGATCCACTGAGATTTTTCCAAGTCAAGACAAAAGCCAATAAATAGTTGTTTCATATGGAACAACCACCTCCATGATCACTCTGTGACTGAAGTTTATGTTTTTTCTAAAACAGTTCTGTGGCAATAAATTTCAGAATGCTGGCGTTCATCATTTGTAAATCGTAGTTACATATCTCTTAAGGAGGAGAAAGGCCAAAAGGAACCAGTCAACGTCAAGATCATTGTCTTGCAAAGTCCAGTATAAAAGAGGAATAATGATTAGCTAAAAGAGGTTATTTGGGCTGGGTGCCAGTGGCTCACACCTGTAATTTGAGCTACTTGGGAAGCTGAGATCTGAGGATTGTGGTTCAAAGCCATCCCAGGCAGGGAAATACATGGGATTTTTATCTCCATTTTTGGCAAAAAGCCAAAAATGGAGCTGTGGCTCAAGTGGTAGAGTGCTAGTGTTGA